GACATGATATCCTATTTACAAACTCTATTAGAACAAATCCCTCTATTCATTAAGAGAATGTAACTATATATTTATTTGATTTTCATTTTATGTATTTTGACATGTTATTGGTACTTGCAAAGTCTGAGCTGTTAATATTTTCTCTTTGTGATACTCCATTTTAAAGTGCCAGGGCATTTTATTCCAAAGAAAATTATTTTTTCCTATGGTTCATTCTATCTATATTTTACAGGACTGGCACTGTTATTTTGATTAGGTTTAGCTGAAATGTATTTATTAATTACTTATATTTATGCCCTCTTAATGTCATTTGTACATAGTCATTATTTGTTTAGTTTGCTCATAAGTCTGTCACTGCATATACTCACCATTCATTGGTGCACATTACTGCCAACTTCACTTTGACCTGCATGAAGAAATCATTTTTTTCTTCCATAATTTTATTGATAAACAAATAGCGATGAGATAGTTTCAAACCAAATTGGTAGGACAGTTTCAATAATTAACACATTGCATACAGTCTTCCTAGTGGTTATTTGCTGTACAAGATGCGGACATGAGATCCTATTCACAAACTCTATTAGAACAAATCCCTCTATTCATTAAGAGAATGTAACTATATATCTATCCTAACCATTTTGAATACACAGATGCAAAATGGACATTCATCTGTATCCCCTTTTTTTGTTTAGTTCCGTTATTTGAATATTATAGGTGTGTTAACTCAGCAAAATATTCTAAAAGAGTCCAGTAGTCCATAATAGTATTGGGTCTTCCACTTCATTGGCAATGTCAGAATTTTTCTTTTTGTCAGAAATTGTTGACCTGAGTTCCCTACAGCTCAACGTAACACCATGGCTTTACTTCTTATACTTTGTTTTTATACTTTTCTGCTGGATGCTTAAGACCAAGATAAAGCAAGACCTATGCAACAAGAGTTGTAGCTTTTGTATCTGATAAGAAATTCTTTTTGACTGCACAGCGAGACCCTGTCTTAAAAAGCCAAAAAAAAAATCTTTTTGTAGTTCTTTTCATAAACTTCAATGTACTTATTGAAAATGTTTTCAGAGACTATTTTGCTCATTTACTTATTGGAAATGTACTGTATGTTATTAGACAAAGCCTAGTACTGGGGTTATAACAACAAACAGAACACAGTCCTTACTCTTCTGCAACGTCCAGCCACCTGGAGTGAAAGAAATAAGAAACAGATAAATTTTATCAGTGTATGAAGAAAATAAAAACAACACATGAAGGAAAGAGAGATTAATATTTTTGATAAGGGGGTCAAGGAATGCCTCGATAATGTGGCAACTTTCAAACCAGACCTCAAGGCCATGAGTGACCCAGCAGTAGGAAGGGCTAAGGTAACAAGGAGGACCTGCTAGTACTGAATTCCCTGTGGATGTTTTTTGACTAAAATTGTCGTTGTTTTGATGTTGCTCTGAAACAATGATCTAGTTGGCGATAGAGTTCTAGGTTAACAGGTATCTTTCTTTTGGCCTCTTTGTGTTTTTGAGAAGTCTGTTATCAATCAAAATTATAATCAAAATTATATTATTTGTACATAATATATCTTTTCTGCCGGCTGAAGAGTTGAGCACAGAGCCATTACATTGAGCTGCACCTCCAGCCCTTTAAAATTTTTTACTTTATTTATTTTGGAGACATGGTCTTGCTACATCACTAAATTGTCAAACGTGGGACTCAGCTTGTCACTCCCTAACCTGGACCCCCAAAAGTGCTGGGATTATACCACCTCGGCTTCCCTTTTAAGATCTGTGGTGTTCTCTTAATCTGCTACATGCTGGTTCTGCTTGGATCTGCTTTAATTCACTGAGCTTTCACATAACTAGCAATCTTGAGGCTAAGGATCCATGCACTTCAACAGTTCTGGAAAACTTCATCCATTAGTACGTCCAATATTGTTTCTCCACCATTTTCATTAGTCCCTCACATTAAGAACCTTAGCAGACATGCTAAACCTTTTATCATCCACGAATGGACAGAGATTTATTCTCTCCCATTTCCATCATTAGGTGCCTGAAAAGTAAACTGATTAAGTTTTCATCACATGTGTCTTACAGTTCATTAATCTTGTTTCAGTAACATCTAATCTACTACATAACATATTCATTAAGTTTTTATTTCTACTCATTTTTTTTCTTTTAAAGAAGGCTGCAGTCAAATAGACCTTTTTCAGTTTTGCCATTTATGTCATCCTTTCTCCCATAATTTTAATTTCCCGTTTCCTTTCAACGCTAATTGTACTTTGTTCATAATTTCTTGTTAATTCTGTTGTATGGAGTCCTTGGAGGGAGGCTAATTTGATTATGTGTTGTATCAGCTGACTCTTGCTCATGGCCATTTCCTGAGATGTTTTGTTCTTGTGGATTGCAGTTTATTATTAGCAAGCATTTATTTGTGGCTTGGTCCCTCCAGAGTGTTTTTTTGGTTGGATTTTCAAGTTAATGTGGTGATATCCTCAGCTTGAGATCAATTTTGCTAATTTCTCAGTTTGAAAGTGTTAAATCAAAACACACAATGTGCATTCAAACATCTATCTAAGATGAAGTTTAAAATCGTTCAATCCCAGTTTAAATGGTTTCTCTTCCTCCCTCCCCTATTTTTGAATTTTGGTGTTATGGCTCATTTTTCTAGAGTTAATTTTATCTAGTTTTCATCCTTTTTCTGAGGTTAGAGCCTGTCAGGACCATAGCTCTATGTGGGATCCTTGTTCTAATTTCTCTTCTGGTTGAGTCTGGGTTTATACTTGTTGTCCTCTTTGAACCAGAGAATTTAAAGCAACTTCTTGACAAAATCAAAACATAGATAGATAGATGATAGAAAGGAAGGAAGGGAGGGAGGGAGGGAGGGAGGAAAGGAGAGAAAGAGAGAGAGACAGAGAGAGAGAAGAAAGAAAGAAAGAAAGAAAAGAAAAGAAAAGAAAAGAAAAGAAAAGAAAAGAAAAGAAAGGAGGTCCTTTGCAAAACAGAAGGGAACCAAGAACTAGAAGGATGGAGTAGGGAGGGAAATGAAAGGGATGAAAAGAGAATGAAGTTTTGTTGTGTATGTTTGCCAACTCCTCACAAAGAATGTGTACATTATGTACTACAAACATACACTAATAAAAAGTAAAAAAAAAGAAATAACTGGAGGTGTTGCCTGCACCTTGTATAGGTTAGTGGACAGTCAAACATCTGGGCAGAGTTTGCACTCAGAGTGTGTGATCCATGATCTCAGTGGTTCTTCTCCTTCCAAAAGCTTCCCAAGCATTCTCATCTCACCATCCAGCCCTCATCATTTCCTTTGGTACATGACGCTAATGTGTTTTCAGGCTTCCAGCACCTGAATTGTGACAGAATGTTATAGTTTATGTGTATTTTGTTCCCTCAAAGCCTCATGCAGTCATTGAAGTGCAGTTTCACAGTTTGTGATTAATTCATGTCCCAACTCTGGGATTATGGGTGTGAGCACTGCTGGGATTATGCATATGAGTGCTAAATCCAGCCTGGGGCTGATAGCCTGAATGTAATGTAAGAGAAAGAAAGACAGACTTGCTCTCTGTAGCCACTGCTCCTTCTTTTTTGCTCTTGCTCTTTGCCGCTGCCATGAAAGGTTGCTGTCTGTCATGTGCCACTTTGCCTTGGAACCAGCTGAGTATAGACTGAAACCTCCATTAACTGTGACCTAAACAACCCTCTACTTCCTTCATTTTGCATGCCAGGTATTTGTCCCATCAATGAGAGAAGAGTAACTGAGACACTGAATGAAAATTTCCTTCAGCCAAAACAGCAGCCAACTCACAACCCTAACCTAACCCAGTTTCTTCATTTTCATTCTTCCTGCCTGCTTCTCAGCGGGCCCCAGGGTTACCTCCATTTGTCTGCAGTACCGTGGTCTAGCTCGGATTTGGAGCTGAGACTATCCCTAGCTTTGAGAGCACATCAGTTCTGTGAACCGTCTGTGTCCAAGACTCTCCCCCCTCATATTCTGGCTTTGTTGCCACCATAAGCCAGGAAAGCAGTCATAGTTCCCCTGGGAATTCTATGTTTGGGAGAACACCTTCAGGAAACAACAAACGCTAACTCATGATTCTGATACATTGCTGCTGCTATCTTCTGAGTGAAAACACACTTGAAATTTCTGTCTGCTCTCTGTAATTTTCCATTACTTTTAAGTAATGGGCCTAGTTGTTCCTATTTTATAATTACAGCTACAGGAAGATGTACGGGAGCAATTTGCTGTGCTATTACCAAATCTTTAATCATTTATTGCTGTTTAATCTGTTTATCTTAACACAATTTTGAATTTTTCCATTTTTTATTAATAATTTAATTAATTTTCTGTTCATTTACCCATTTTTCTATTTGTAGCTACTTTTTATCTTGGTTAGCTATAAGATTTAATTGTATATCAAATAAAATATCTTAACCCATTGGATATATTTTTATTTCCATGCTTAGGTCAAATTTGTGTGAAAGTATAAGGTTTGCTTTGATGGTTATTGCTATGTTGAACACTGATGTTCACATGGGATTATTCAACAGTGAAGACAGGGTACCCTGTATCTCCTACTAGGGCTGTCACAGAACAGAGAATGGACCTCTTGCCTTTACACTAGGCAGTCTTGTGGTCAGCTTGTAAGATGAATGAGCCCATGTTGGTAGAGATAGTTCTAATACAGAACTTGTGGTTATATTATTTATATATTCATAGCTCATCACGGTGTTATTTTTTCAGCCATAAACATTTGTCTTAATCATCAATAATTGCCACAACACATTCGTGCTCCTTTATATCAGAGGAAATATTGCAAAGTAATTAATGTTTGCTAAGGAAACTGAGGGTTCTCACCCAAACTCTACTGAAATAGTATTCTCCTTCCCTCTCTTTTTGTCCCTAGGAGTATACCATTGATGTATTTTTTCGACAGACATGGCATGATGAAAGACTGAAATTTGACGGACCTATGAAGATCCTTCCACTGAACAATCTCCTGGCTAGTAAGATCTGGACTCCTGATACCTTCTTCCACAATGGCAAGAAGTCAGTGGCTCACAATATGACCACACCTAACAAGCTTCTCAGACTGGTGGACAACGGAACCCTCCTCTACACGATGAGGTCAGAGAATAAGATACTGAGGCCTTACTCACAGTGTGTTAAGGGTATTATAGGGTTGAAAGTCACAAGTTTTAGGGTATCCACTGAAAATTCTTTTACAGGTTTAGACTAGAAATGTGGATGTATACTTCCTAACACATTAACACTAAATGTACAGACATAGATATGCTAGATACACATATAAGTAGATTTTGAACATATAAACATTCTTAGACACACAGATATATACATATATATTCATATTGCAAAAGTTTGCATACTCAAAAACACATGGAGCTCCTGTATAGGCACTACGTATTCAAAGGCATTTAAATATACAAACTTGCTATTACACATACACAAGCATGAACACTATAATCATCAGAATATACTAGGCTTGACTGCTGCAGCATAGTACTCATATGATATAGTACTTTATGTTATAAATAAAAATACAGCAATATCTATTTCATGCAACATTGCCTGGGGATTCTAAGGAATTTGAAATGAACTCCCCAAACACCTTCAGATTAAATCTGATTCAAATATACTGTACAGAAAATGTATTTTGTACTTATCCGCCTCCATGACAAAACAGATTATCACAATGTTATATATTTCATCACTCATTACTATCATTAGAATCATTAGACATTAAGATTTGTTATAGAAAAGAATAACTTTCAAGTGTTGCCAGTGCAGTAAGATTATATGCCCCAACACTAAAACTTCTGTGGTTCTTTATCCTTTTGATAGCTCCTCTGCTGCTAATTGTCACCTCCTGTGCTCTTCGCCCACATTGATAAGATGGGATAACAGGGAATCTATATTGAATAGAATTTTTCAGTGCAGCTTCTACGCGGTTTTCAAATTTTTTGTATTTTCACTTTGCACAGTGAAACTCAATGAATGTCTGGTAAATAACTGAAGTGTGTTTGCCTGCATAATAGACCTTCGTTAAGTTTCTTATTTATTGCTGTTTTTACTCTAAGAATCTGGGACTTAGGAAGATGTCTAATGGGGCAAAATGATAAAGAAATGAGGAGTGAAGAGAAAATTTAAACATGAGAGAGGGAGAGGAGCAACTGGAGTAGAAATACACACAGAGTAAAATAGAAGCACAGGATAATAGGAGAAAAGTGGATAGATTGAGAAGAATGTTTAAACAGGAAAGGATGATAGAAGATGTGGGTAAGCAAGAAGGAGGAAGGGAGAAAGAACATTCTAGACAGAAAACCAGCTTAGCAGTTTCAGGGCCTGGAAGACACTTTTAGCAAAAGAATGAGTTGATTCATTTTCCGTTTTATATACAGTTATGTAGTTACTGTGTAAGGAGTGGATTTGAAGGAAACAAGACTGAGATTAGGGGAAATGGCTAGGATACAGCTGAAATCACCTAGCACAGAAGTAACAAGGCAATAGTTCAGAGCACTGAATGAATAGGCAGAGTAAGGCGGAACCTATGGAAGAGACGGAGAAGAAAAGCCAGGATTGTAGATAGAGTCACTAGTGTGCTGTAGCTCAGAAGCTGAGTATGGTAGTCGGTGTTGCCACTTTCCAATATTTCTCAGTTCCCCTCCTTCCAGGTCCATGGTGGTACTGTAGCTCTCTTGAGCCTTAAAGGTGGCTGTGAATGAATGTGTTCCTGTGCCAAATCAAAAGTGAGTGTAAGTAGCACATGCCAGTGCTGAGAGAGGAGGGTAAATGATTAGCTGCCAGTATGGGACTTGCCGTGTCGCCTCCTCTGACCACAGTGATAAGCTTTGTGCCAGTGGTCCAATGAACAGTTTTTACGAGCTGGTGTAGTGGCGGTAGAGACAGTTAATACAGAGAATCATTGTCAAAATCATACTTGCAAATGAAAGAAACAAATATAGAATGGCTACTTTCATGGCAAAAAGGAAGTCTGCCCTTGTTTTCAGTGAAGAGACTGGCTCGTGTTTGTTTGACAGCATAAATGAGCTAGCAAAAAAGTGAAGGCTGAAGAGATGGTAGCAATACTATGTTGGTAAGAAGGTTCCAGAGAAAACTGTAAAGGGTGGTGTCAAAACTCATTTGAACTTACCTGTAAAGAAAGATGGATGCATGTCATGCTGCATGAATTGATATAAATGCTGAAAAGGAGATGAGAAGTGCATTGGTCAGTTCTCTCAGTGCTGAGACAAAGTAGCTACTGTACACAGCTTAAGGGGCTAGAGGTGTGTGTGGCACATGGCTTCTGAGGTCCGCTAAGCAGGCCCCAAGCCATGGAGCAGACATTGCAGCTTAACTGACGTGGCTGGGCAGAACATGAGAGAGACACGCATGACAATACATGAAGGAGAATTTGGAGAGAGTAGAGCATGAACAGAGGGAGCCATAGACGAGAGGCTTGCTTCTATCACAGTGAAGAAAGGAGAAGAATTTGGAGAGGAAGTAGGAGTTCACGTATTTGTGTTAAGAATGGAACACAGGAGATGTGCAGAGCAAAGAACTTTGTGGAATGAGGTAGGTGGCGGCATAGAGCAGTGAGGGGGCTGTACAGAAGGGTCAAAGATAGTAACTGCTGGAAAAGAAGCTTGTGAGAGTACACGCCGAACCCAGCAGATAAAGAAAATGGGATGTTTAGACGCAACAGAGTACTGCCATGCCACAGAGAAAGACAAACGGGGGCTAGGAGATGGATACACCTTGAGACCATGATGCTCAGTGACATAAATCATGCGTGTAAGCTTAAATGCTGTGTGGTTTCTCTTACATGAGAAACCCAGAGTATAGCGCAAACTGAAAGACAGATGATTCGAAGCACGGAGACAGGTCTTTTTCAGAAGGGAAGGGGACCAAGGGTTTCAGTTCGGTGAACAAAGAATGAAGGTGTGGAGTTTAGTGACATTCTGTATCATTTCTTTCTTTTCTTTTTCTTATTTTTTCTTTTTCTTTTGCAGTACCAGGGGTTGACTCTGTATCATTTCTAATGTTTTCTCTCTCTCTCTTTTTTTTTTGGCTCTTTTTAATTTTCTTTAATAAATAAATAAAATAGATGACAAATAAAAGAAATACAAATGCAGAAGTGAGAGAGGATGGAGAAGCGGAGAGGGCAGATTATGCAGCAGACCAGATGATTAGCCGTCTGAAAATAGAGCTGCATGAATAGGAAGATGATAAACACTGACCTCTTCATTTCAGTTTGAACCCAACAAAACGACATCCGGTGGTTCGAGAGTCTAAGTGGAATGCCTTGTGCTTATTTTGAAGTAGAGAACAGTGGAAACACAGAAGGGCAGAAGCATGGTGAAACCATTGCTTTCCCCCACAGTAGAGAGTTCACTGTAGTCCCAAAACTCCGTGCTCCGGCCCGTTGTGCTGATGAGAGTCTAGCTGCTGCCTGCCTTCCGGCCACAGAACAATCCCAAACTGGACGAGGTGTGCAAGACGCTCTGAGCTTTTCTAGGAGGGTTATTCTGTAACGTCCCCTTTTATTATTTTGATCTCCCGAATTTTATTTTGGATTCCATGGGGAAACTACAGGACAGCTACCTGGAAAAAAAAAAACTGGCTAAGTGTCGCATGTAACTAGGACAGTTCAGAAAGTTGAAGAGGCAGATGCTGTTGACCTGCTCCTCAGTTCTGCAGTGAGCAGTACGTAGTAGATCAACAGAGCCCAGCCCCAAGTGACACACACATTTACAAAATCTTTTCTATTGTTCAAGTGTAGATATATGAGAAACTTCATGTCTGTATTAATGACATTATGTTTATTGATCAGTATATGAGTAAAAATGTTCATTATATTCTTTATACCTAATGTACATAAATGTTACCTAATGCAATAGAGTAAAAATGCTCGTCACATGAATAAAAGGAAGAAAATAGTCATGAAATTTAATTCCACTTTATGGCACTGAGTAGAAACCTTTATTTAACACATGTGCAAGCATTTACTATGTTTAAGGCTCCGCACTTAAGCACAAAGCCCATACTCGTAGTGTCCTTAGGGTTTAGCAGCTGAAGAGATGCGTGCATGTTCAGCTGCATAGTATGATAAAATACTTCAAGCACAGGTAGGTGCGAACTGTGATGGTAACAGGGTAAAGAGGAAACAGAATTGCATGGGAGCATCAAAGAAAATGGTGAAGTGCAATGCGTGTCCTGTCTCTTGAATATTGAGGAAGACGTAGGGAATTGTAAGCAGATGAGGGATTGGGCTGTGGTACACAGTAGTTCGGACAGGAAATAGCATGTCCAAATATATGTGTTCACTAGTTGGCATAATGCATCAGAAATTTCATGTTGCTGCTAAGACATGATGTAGGAAACAGTACTATGGGAATATCTAGCAGAGACAATAAAATGAGCTGGTGGGACTCATGCAATAAATTTCAGAGGAAATTACCTTTCAGCTAAGACCTAAAAGATGTATAGAAGTAAATGAGATTAAAATCTGGGAAGGAAATCTATACCTCACAGAGCATTCAGCAGGTACATGGTTCTGTTGAGTAAGGGACAGAGGTAGGGATGACACACAGAAGGCACTCCACGAAGGGGAGCAAAGCTGGCCCAGAGAGCCACGCAGGAAAGCAGCCCAGCACGGGAGCGGCAGTCTGAGGTTTCTGGGCAGAAAGACAGTGGAGCTTGTCTGGAGACTTGACTACGGAGGAAAGAGGCAGGTGGAGCTGCATTTTAGCTGGCCGACTCCAGGAGCAGTGTAGAAGGCAGAGTGGAGGAAGGTGCACGTGACTGTGCAGTGATGAGCAGGGACCCTGCCCTAGTCCTCTACTAATAATACGAGAAGCTCCTGTGTGCAGAGCACCTGTCATATGCAAGGCACCTTATGTAGAGCATCTGTGATCTGCCAAGTAACTGCGCGATGTAGATATGTGACACCTACGTTCGTTATCTCTATTGAATGGATTCAGGAGGCAAAACTTAACAAATGGGAATGAGTTGCCTCATATGGTGCTGCTGTTAGGTGAATCAAAGTCTGTGATAGCTTCAAGATCTCGCCACTAAATAAAGTTTGGATAAGTATATGGATATGCGAT